GAGGGGAGGTGGAAAGCCGGCGATGGGGTTTCGATCTCAGGTTCCCAGCTGACCCTGAGCTATCAGAGCCATTGATTGGCTCGTGTAATTCTGCTCTGATTTGGCTCGGCCAATCAATGAGCTGCAGGCCGACCCTCTGTGAGCGGGCAGCCATTAAACTACAAGAGAAAAAAGCTTTGGTTTGAGCATACAGTCCACTGAGGAGAAACTTCTTTCCTTATAGTCGCTTTCACTTTTTTCCCCAAAAACAATTTTTTATAGAAAATGAGATTGCAACACAAAAATGTTTGTTTTGAAGAAAAAAAGCAGTTAATCTAACAAATTATTTCCTTTAAAAAGGAAAAAATCTATATATTGTCAAATAAAAGTTTACATCACAATCCTCCATTACATTCAAAGTACTTAGAGCTGAAGTTTAATGCAGGGATAATATGATTAAAGCCATAGGAGCTGTTAAAATATGTAATATTTCAGTATTTTTGGTTTGAATTTTTATGCAGACACTGTGTTCAGATGTAAACAAACGACTGCTGATTTTAAACATTTATTACGAAATATTATGGCAGACTTTTGGTAGCGAATGATGCATATTTACTGGTTTGAAGTTTCTGGGTTACAGTTAGGCTGGAGCATCAGAGCATGGACAAGATTTTTACAAAGGAGTCATATGTGACCTTTGACGTTCTGAGCTTGAACTTGTTTAATGATCATCCTTGACTCACGAGGTGTCCAGCTGTGCAGTTTGACATTTCAGGGACGGACGGATGGATGGATGGATGGATGGATGGATGGATGGATGGATGGATGGATGGATGGATGGATGGATGGATGGATGGATGGATGGATGATACTGTATATAGCTGGATATATAGATGGATGGATGGATGGATGGATGGATGGATGGATGGATGGATGGATGGATGGATGGATGGATGGATGGATGATACTGTATTTAGCTGGATATATAGATGGATGGATGGATGGATGGATGGATGGATGGATGGATGGATGGATGGATGGATGGATGGATGGATGGATGGATGGACAGATATATACATGGATGGATGGATGAATGGATGGATGATATGTAGCTGGATATATAGCTGGATATATATAGATGGATGGATGGATGGATGGATGGATGGATGGATGGATGGATGGATGGATAGAATGCATTAATACTTCTGGAGTCATCCCTCAGTCAAACCTAGAAACAGAATCTTTACAGATTAAGTTCTTTACGCTGCAGATAAATGTCAATAAATCAGTAAATCAAAGTAAAACCATCCTAACATCACCTGTTCTCCTGCYGAAAGCTGACAGAACACCATGAGCACAAACAGGAACCACTGACGTTTTAATTTGGCTCTCTGTAATGACACTAACACACCAGAACAAGATTATGAGAATCCTCGGTGTGATTCAGACGAAATATGAGCTCCGAGTGATAACGTGAAATTAAAACATAACAGACGGCGCATTAAGGCTCCTCAAAACACTTTTCCAGTCATTGCACTGACAAGCTAAACGGTAAATAAACTTCATTTATGTAGCAACATTCACTTATTCATTACAGAGCTTATTAGTCTTACAACACGTACAATCACATGTCGATAAATGCATCTGAGGCTAAACAGAGTTCACATCCTGCTGAGCTACGGTCACCCCTCCACACGTCTGTGATTACAACATAAAGCCACTTTATTCTCCATTTAATTTAACCATTTGTTTTTTTTAAACACCAGATCCCATCACAGATAATGGAATACATCAGGCTGGAGAGTTTTATGGTGTGTGCTGGAGCCCCAGCTCTCCCGCCTCTTGAAAACACAAACACACAGAGCGAGAGGGAGCCGAGAAACGAGGGGAAAACAAGATGTTTCCTCAGGGATCATCACTAAAAATCTCTGCCTACTACAGTTAGCAGATCCAAGCCATGGCAGTGTGTGGGATCGCTCGCTCCTTCAGCTTCTGTCCCCACTGGCATCTGCAGCTTGGTTCAGATCAGATGTGAGCCAGCAGACACTCAGACGCAGCTGTGCCGTCACACCATCAGCAACAGAAACACATAAACCTAAATCAGAGTCATTTATCTGTTTTTCTTTATTACGCCCTTCATATTACACTAATTATCCTTACTGCTATTTATTTTATTGATATTACTTCCAACAGCACCAAACACAGATGGTTATTTTACCAACAAAAACTGTCATATAGTTAGTTATTCGTGTTAACATTTTGATTTTTAGTGCTTTACAGCTCAAGTTTCTTTTATATTAATGTAAAAGCTGAGATTTAAGACAAGCGGACCAGAAAATCTATTTAAGATGTGCTAAATTCAAGTATTAGTTTCAACAGTTTGTCTGCAGCTTCYTTATGGTTAGAATTTAGTCAAAAGTTGCAATAAAACATGCCAGGTAGATGTGGGAACCTCAAAATTAAATTACAAATCAACAATTAGCATTTATGCTAACATTGAAAACACCATGTACATTGTGTTTATCACCAGAAATTTAAATGCAAATCAAATGTTTTATAGTAATTATTTAAGACAGTCGTGTCAAGATCATTTCACTATTACTCAGACTTGTAATATTCTGGGTTCAGAAAAGAAAAGATGCAACTGGTTTCTACTAAAAGAATCTACGGTAGCTCGAAAGGGACAAACATCAAGAGTTCAACTACTCTTTAAGTGCCTATGAAGTCAGAATTTAGTGATAAATATGAACGCATTATTGAAAAGATGACATTCATAAAATTGTAAAAAAATAAAAAACAATCTTATGTTTCTTTAGGTTATTTTGAATCATTTTCAAAGAAGGATGAAGAAAAGTAAGAGTTTGTCTATTTAAAGTCCAGGAAGTACTCCTTTGGTCAAAAAAATGTTCCAGTTAAGTAACAAAATGGTTAAAATCATCTGTGTTAGACCAAATTTCTAGTATGTTTTTTCTCCAGTTTTTGTATATGTAAGACATTTAAGTCAAGCATTTAAAGTGGAAGCACACATTAACAAATTCAGTTTCTGAGTTTTGAAAATCAATTCAGAATTTACAATGTTCTTTACTGCCAGCCATGAGTCAGAGATGCATTTCTTTCTGAGTGAAGTACAAAAGGTAAATGTCTTTGCCAAATCTCTTAAATAATAATAATAATAATAATAATAATAATAATAATAATAATAATAATAAGAATAAGAATAAGAATAAGAATAAGAATAAGAATAAGAATAATTTGTCAACCACAGTTCAAGCACGTAAGTAGCCCCTTACAAAGATCCACTTGAACCCAAATTGTTGATTTTCTGACATCCAAGTCGTGCAACAAAAAGGAGAATAGAGTAAAAGAATAAACACCACTCAGGACTAGTTGAGCCCTGCTCTTCAGGGTAAAAGTCGAGTATCTTACTCCAACTAAAAGTTATCCAAACAATCTACAAAAACTCCTGCAGCTTCCTTTTGCATTTACAATCTTTTCATATCAGAGTGATGCAAACACTGTTGATTTGTTCATCATATCGTCACCAACCTGTACGTAACTCAGAACTCACAACCAGAGCAGAATATTACTTCAGACCTTCAGTATAGATTTGAGAACAGTCAAGCCTTTTTTATCATTACATACTGTGCATCAGTGGTTCCCAACCTTTTTAGACTTCTGTGCCCCCTGAGCCATTTAGTCATACCTCTAGTACCCCTTCAGTCAAATGCAATGATGATTCTACAAAACTATAATGTACTACAACTGACTATTAAATGAAAATTATTTATTTAACCCACTAGAACATTTAATTCTCAGGCATTTTATTTTTTCAACTCAAATTAAACAAAGATAAAAATGTTGCCTGTTGTAGACAGTGTGAAGGACTGAAGGAACTGTCCAAGGTCCTGAAAATGCTGAAATTTTTCAGGATCTTGGGCAGTGTGAAGGATTGAAGGAACTGTCCAAGGTCCTGAAAGTGCAGAAATGTTTCAGGACTTTAGACCAGGCATGAGCAATCCTGGTTCTGGAGGGCCGTAGCCCTGCATGTTTTACTCGTTTCTCTGCTCCAACACACATGATATGAATGAATAGATGATCATCAGGCTTCGGCAGTATGGAGGACCAAAACTGACATAATTAGAAATAAAAGCAGAACTATATGAACCACTAAATATATATACTGAAAAGGCATCAGAGAACTTTATCTCCTGTTTTATATTTTAATTGCCTTTCATATTTATTTTTCCAGGTTAGTTTCAATAAATTAGTCTATATATTTATCACATAATTTAAATTTTACTGTTTTTTACATAATTGTTTTTCCTTTATTTGTACATGCATTTAAAGTTTAGTTTAAAACAAAGGCAAGGAGGATTACCTGTGCCTTTATTTAAAATATATATATATAATTAAATTTAAGCATTTAAGAGACACAAATGCATGTAGAAAAAAGGAAAAACTATATAAAAATATATATTTAAAAAGTGGAAAATTTAAATTATGTGTTAAAATATACAATTTATTGGAACTAAGCTGGAAAAATAAATATGAAGGTCAATTAAATTATAACAGTTGAGGTAAAGTTCTTTTTTATTTATTTGGTGCATTTTAAATGTATTTACTTATTTAGTGATTCATTTATATGTTTCTGCCTTTAATTCTAATTATGTCAGTTTTGGTCCTCTGTACAGCAGAACTTGGAAGAGGTAGTTCAGTGACTGAGTCAGGTGTATTGGAGCAGGAAAAAATGTAAAATGAAGGACTGCGGCCCTCGAGGACCAGGATTGCCCACCCCGCTTTAGACAGTGTGAAGGACTGAAGGAACTGTCCAAGGTCCTGAAAGTGCTGAACTGTTTCAGGACTTTGTACATGAAGGCAACCATTTAAAAATGAAAATATTTTTCTCTCCAGGTACATCTACCACAAAACATCAAAGCACCTTTGCAACATTACCACAAACTGACTGATTGTTGTTTTACTGTAAAAACAGACAAACATGAAGCTGTTGGACCTTAACTTACAGGCGTTGGTGACAGCAAAGCTGTTGGCTGTTTCTATGTTGTCTACATGAGGCACCAGGTTGAACGGAGCTTCCGACGCATTCGGGCTCGTGTTGTGCAGGAATATTGCCAAACGAAAGGCTGTGTATTCCTGATCAGTGTTTCTGATAAACAGACCACCTGAAAGGAAGAAAGGAAGAGAAATGTAGATTTTAAAAGATTATCTTTAGATATTTGATAAGTGATTTCCCAAGGTTGGATTGTGAAACACCAAGCGCAAACCCCCAACTAATTAACAGAAATCAAAACATCACTATAATTGTTCCAAAGAACACACACAGACAAACACAATAAACTAAAGCACCAAGTTTAGATACAAATTCAGGATGCTAATATGGAAAGAGTGTACAAAACTCAATTCAGAGGGTGATAAATGACAAAATTCCCAGAAAATCTCAAATTAAATTACATCTAAATCCAAAGCAAGGGATTTTCTGGACACTGTAGTCACTCCACATTTTGTTCCTGGTCTTGTTCTTATTTATTGTGGGGAAACACAGAGAAAAATTCACTACAACCACTATTCAGACTGTAACAAAGAGCTGTCAGAAGATTTCCTTGAACACATAAATTAATTGTATATTTCAGTGTAAAAATTACAATTTCATGACACTGAAAAATAAAATAAAAAACAGCAGACTTTGTGTATAAAATGAGCAAAAACCTTTTACTGAGGAACATTTTGAAATGTTTTATGAGAGGGATGGTTAGTTAAATGTAAGGGGATCTTGGAATTTCAAAATACACAAAATCTGAACATGACAAAATTTTGATCATCGCTATTAGAGTTAAAGTATGTGCTTTAACCAAATATCAATGAGTAAAAAAATAAATATAAAACTGATTTTCACAAGTTACCAGAAGGAAGGGGATTAACGTCAATACGGCATAAGAATATGAGTAATTTTGGGAATTTTTTCACATATTTCAGGACATAAAGACATGTTTTACAAATAAATGCAAACAGATAAGTATATTGTTATCATGTCTGATATATTTTGACTATTTTTATTATTATTGTCTGCAAGTTTAACTGGAAACAGGTGGAATGCCTTCTCCGGGTGTGTTGCTTTGGTCAGTGATGATGAAAGAAAAGRGTCGAAAAGACAACTGAATTCAAATCCGTGGGAAAATAATGTAACAAAACAAACTCAAGCAAGTTCATTAATAATTTGCTTTTGTATGATTGTGACTGTTTATGTTGTACTACTTTACCAGTTCACAATAAAAAATACAATTTATAATAACTGCTATGAGTGTTTAAAGGTCTAAAGAAACAAGTATTTTTAGTTAACTGAGATAAATGACCSAGATTACAGAAAAAAAGGCCTGATTCTCAGTAGATCAATTACCTAGACTATTTATTTCCTTCCTACCCAATAATGTTACCCACCTGTGTAAAATGTTCCAGCAGGTGTGTTTTATACGCCTCTCTGAATTTGATAACAGCGCTTTTAAAATGTTGTCGAAAAGTCATTAAAAACATCTACTGTGYTGTTTTTGTTATTTCTCTGGTAACAATCAATGTATGTGTCGATGATTTTTAAGTCATTAAATCTTGTGATTAATTAACACAATTTTTCACAATTATTTTTACATTTCTGAAGCCTACTGATACCCCAAACCCTGATTTATGATATCAAATCGAGTCAATAGACCATTATTAATGATTAATCAGTGTACTTTTTGATTCGGCTAGTTAGCAAACAAGCTAATTTAGCTTGTAAAAACAAACGCCATTGCCCAAACTAAACTACTGTCGCTGCATTTATTAAGTATTTGATAATTAACACACCATAATYGTTTTTATTAGACGAATAAAACAACTGCCACTCACCGATATGTCAATTAAATGCTATTTTAAAAGACGGGTTAAGAAAGTCACCTAGCTTCTCCGGCTAGACTAATGTTAATGCGACGTTCACGGACATCACGGACATTAGAAATTGAGTTTAATGTAGCCGCAAAAATATACATATAGATATACGATTACCTCTGGATAACTTACCGAACCGATCATTATGTGCTTACKTTAACGTTTTATTTTAGAGGATTTTCAAAAATAACTTTTACAGGGAGCTAATGGAGAGAGAAGCTGAAATATCTGGGACAAAACATTTTGATAAGGAATTCCCACTGTCTTTAAATAGCACATTACTAATGACTATTGAAGTCTGTTTAAATGGTTGATTTAAAATACAAAAACAAAGTAGGGTTGACGTTTTCAAACATGCATGATAAGAATGAAAAAGCATGCAGCCTCTGAACACAGCGAAATTAAACCGATTGCCCTTCTTTGTAGACTAAATCATCTTTACACGAGCTGTGAGGTTTATAAAAACCTCTGCAAAGGCTATCAWCTCCTCTAAGCTGTACACTGGGAACATGTCTAAAGTTTATTAGAAAAAGGCCATTTTCTTAATTAGTATTAGATGCTTACCATGTTCAGTATTGCCTATAATAACAAATATAACCAACATCCTCTGCGGTTTAAATGGGTCACATGAAGTTTTGGGAGTTTTAAAATATTCTCTCACACATTTAATTATTTGTCTTTATGTTTTATTGCTTTGGTTGGAGAAAAAAACCTATATAATTAGCTTTTGTGACCTCTAACAGGAGCAGGGTGTAAAACAACGTCCTGTGGCTAAATTCAGGTCTTTAATCATAATTATATTTACAATAAAGACACAGTTTGCTTAACATGTAAAACCATCTTTATCATACAAATAAAAAGGAAGGTAATAATATTCATCCAACATCATGATGGATCAGCCTACCTTCATTTCTGAGGTTTATGCAAGCTGAGCTCCAGAGTCATAAATCAACCTGATGTTTACGATAACTCTCTCGCTCTCTCTTATTTTTATTTTATTTTATTTTTATGTTGTTCTGTCTCTTTAAATTATTTCTTTGATGCACAGAGATCTCAGCAGAGCCAGTCATGGCTGTGCAAATGTCAGAGGTGTTAGGAGCAGTTTGTTTCACATTTCAGATTCAGACTTACGGCTATATTTCTTTAGGATGAGACAGTGTAAATGTCATTTAAAGTAAAATGCCAGTGTGTTCTTTTTCATGGCTGACCTCTTTAAAAAGAAAAAAAAGGTAAACTTCAGATTAATTAACTCTTTTTGTTGAARACTGGCCATGCAAATCCCACTTCACTCATGTTTAATTTCCACTGACATAAATATCTTAAAGCAATGTTTTAGCTTCAAAGATGTAGTCATGTCCTTAAAAAATGTATGCCCCTTTAAAGTGACTTTTGATACAAACTTTTTATAATAAATATCAATACATTTTTTAAAAAACAGTATTGATAACTTATTGCAAAATAAATTTTGCGCCACGACGGTGCAAAATTTATTGCCCCGACACGGACAAGGGCGGCACGGTGGCTCAGTTGGTAGAGCTGATGCCTCTCAGCAAGAAGGTCACCGGTTCAAATCCCGGTC